TAATTCATTAGAGGGATTTTGCAGTTTTTGAGGAATTAGTCCAGGATATATAAACAGAATTAGACTAAGGATGATGTGGCTTATTCTGGGAATGCATTGTTGGTTCCTTATATGAAAATCATTTAATCATATTAACAACCTAAAAAAGAAAAACCTCATGATTATATTCTTTGACGGGAAAAACTTTTGGGGGGAGTCTGGAAATAGCAACATTAGATCTTTTCATGTTGTTCCACAGGTCTGTGAGATTCTGTTCAATTTTCCCCCCATTTTTCTCTGTTGATTAGATTTGATGTCTTCAAGTTCATGGACTTTTTTTCCTCCTCTTTCTATTCTATAACTAAGCCTACATGTTGCAGTTAGTTGATAGTCTATTAAGGCTTTTTTTTTTTCTCCCTGCAGCTTTTTCTTTGTGGTGTATTTTTGTAGAAGGTAGTTTATTAGTCCCAAATGATTTTCCACAGTGTAGATTTTCTAATTGTACTTCTATCATTTAAAATGTTTTCTGCAGGTTGGAAGTTAGACCTAGAATAAGGTTCAGGAAACTAGAGTTTGAGGGTCGAATCTGGCCTTCCTCTTTTTAAAAAATATTGAAATGTAGCTGTACCTATCCATATACATATATTGTCTGTACCTGTGTATGTGCTGGAGTGGTAGAGCTGAGTAGTTGTGACAGAGACTGTAGACTGGGAAAGCCTAACGTATTTATGCCCTGTTCCTTTAAAGTAAAATTCTGATAATCTGTGATTCAGAGATTTTTACAAACTTAGTTTTTTTTTTAATGAATTTAATAGGTGGTCATTGATATTTGCCTCTGTAGTGCATATTTTGTATTTTTGTGATGTTAATAGCTATTGCTTATATTCTGTGGCTTTTAAGTGTTTCATCTACATTTTTGATGCATTTTTTTTGTTGTTTTTGCTGGGGCTTTATTTATTTATTTATTTATTTATTTATTTATTTATTTATTTATTTATTTATTATTTTTTAAAGATTTCATGAGAGACACACAGAGAGGGAGAAGCAGAGATGTAGGCAGAGAGAGAAGCAGGCTTCATGCAGGAAGCCCGATGTTGGATTTGATCCCAGGACTCCAGGATCATGCCCTGAGCCAAAGGCAGACGCTCAACTGCTGAGCCACCCAGGCATCCCGCTGGGTGTATGATTTTAATTTATTTTTATTTTATTTTTTATTTGATAGTCACAGAGAGAGAGAGAGAGGCAGAGACACAGGCAGAGGGAGAAGCAGGCTCCATGCACCGGTAGCCCGACGTGGGACTCGATCCCGGGTCTCCAGGATCGCGCCCTGGGCCAAAGACAGGCGCCAAACCGCTGCGCCACCCAGGGATCCCCGGGTGTATGATTTTAGATTGCTGTTTTTCCTTTTCTGTTTTCTGGCTTCCATTCTTTATGAGTTATGGCTGCCAGTCTTTTTTTTTTTTTTTTTTAATAGTTTTCTTCAGGAATTTTTTTTTTTTAATTTTTATTTATTTACGATAGTCAGAGAGAGAGAGAGAGAGAGAGAGAGGGGCAGAGACACAGGCAGAGGGAGAAGCAGGCTCCATGCACCGGGAGCCCGACGTGGGACTCGATCCCGGGTCTCCAGGCGCCCTGGGCCAAAGACAGGCGCCAAACCGCTGCGCCACCCAGGGATCCCCGGGTGTATGATTTTAGATTGCTGTTTTTCCTTTTCTGTTTTCTGGCTTCCATTCTTTATGAGTTATGGCTGCCAGTCTTTTTTTTTTTTTTTTTTAAATAGTTTTCTTCAGGAATTTTTTTTTTAAATTTTTATTTATTTACGATAGTCAGAGAGAGAGAGAGAGAGAGAGAGAGAGAGAGGCAGAGACACAGGCAGAGGGAGAAGCAGGCTCCATGCACCGGGAGCCCGACGTGGGACTCGATCCCGGGTCTCCAGGCGCCCTGGGCCAAAGACAGGCGCCAAACCGCTGCGCCACCCAGGGATCCCCGGGTGTATGATTTTAGATTGCTGTTTTTCCTTTTCTGTTTTCTGGCTTCCATTCTTTATGAGTTATGGCTGCCAGTCTTTTTTTTTTTTTTTTTAAATAGTTTTCTTCAGGAATTTTTTTTTTAAATTTTTATTTATTTACGATAGTCAGAAAGAGAGAGAGAGAGAGAGAGAGAGAGAGAGAGAGAGAGAGAGAGGCAGAGACACAGGCAGAGGGAGAAGCAGGCTCCATGCACCGGGAGCCCGACGTGGGATTCGATCCCGGGTCTCCAGGATTGCGCCCTGGGCCAAGGCCAGGCGCTAAACCGCTGCACCACCCAGGGATCCCCATGGCTGCCAGTCTTATTGTCAGTCTAGTGAAGGTGATCTGTTCCTGTGTGTCTCCCCACCCCCACTCCTTGGATGCTTTTGAGATTTTCCTCTTTTTAGTTTTTATCAGATATACTATGCTGGCTTTTTCTTTTTCTTTTCCTTTTCCTTTTCCTTTTCTCCTGTTTTGTTTTCTTTATCTTGCTTTAGGTTTATATTGCTTCTTCAGTCTGAAGCTTGGGGTCCTTCATTGGTATTAGAAAATTCTTACCTGTATGCCATTTTCTCTTCTGCCCTGTTTTCCTTTCTTCTCCTGCTAAGATTCCTATTTTATATGTGTGTGTACATATATATATGTTTATTTATATGTGTTTATTTATATATTAATATATGTTTATATATTTACATATACTTATATATATATACTTATACATATAAATATATATATGTTTGATCTTATACTCTGTTATATTTTGTTTTCCATATTCTTTGCTTTTTTAATTGTCTATTCTTTTGTTCTATGCTTAATAGGAGTATTTTCTTTTGACCTTTCTTCCAATTCACTAATTTTTTTTCTGTGTTTAATCAACTGTCAAGCTGACCTGTGAATCTGCTTATTTTAAAAAATATTTTATTTATTGGACAGAGAGCAAGAGAGAGAGCACAAGGAGTGGGAATGGCAGCCAGAGGGAGAGGGAGAAGTAGCTCCCCACTGAGCAAGGAGCCCAATGCGGGACTCAGTCCCAGGACCCTGGGATCATGACCTGAGCCAAAGGCAGATGCTTAACTCACTGAGCCACCCAGGCACCCTTGAATCTCTAATCATTGCATTTTTTTCATTTCTGCTATTCATTTGGTTCTTTGTCATAGTTTTCAGTTCTCAGAATTCTCCAAGAACTGTCACTTATTTCATTTATTTGAAAATTGGTTTCTGATAATTATTTTATTTGGGCCTCCTGTGAGTCTTTTCTAATGTCATTTCTTCTCCCTTGGTTTCTCGTCATTTTTTTTTTTTTTTAATGTCTCCTTATTTTTCACTGAGTGCCAGAAACCAAATGTGAAAAATGTTGGAGATAGTTTGAGATTTTGGATGATTGTTGTAGAAACCTAAAACATCTATATATGATATTTTTTATAAGTTCTATTGTGAGAAGAGGGAACATAAGAGGAGAACTGGTAAAAGTCAATTCATAGAATTATCCTGGCTTCCTGATAGAGAAGGAATTGAGAGAAACTGGGAGAAAATGATCAGAGTATGGAGTGGGACACCTAGAAGAATTGGAGATTGGCATCGAAGCAGGGATGTTAGACCTTGAGATTAAAATAAAGATAATCAAAGGGAACAAAATTCTGTGGAATGTAATTGATATGTTGCTAGAGTTTAGATTAGAATCAGTCACTAGTAATGAAAAGTCAGGGAAGTCTTAATGGAAGGTATAGGTGTAGGTTAAGTTTTGAAGGAAATAAATTGAGTAAATAGTGAAGAGTAGAAAGACAATTTCAGGCTACATTGTAGTTTTCAACTGCTTTCTCTTCAAATTTCCTTTGAAATTACCTTTGGCCTGATCTAAAAATGTTCAGCATAGTGTTAGGGGGTTGGGGTTGGGGTAAGGACCAGAAGCAATCATACTTTTGCCATAGGCTCCACATATCCTAGGTGCAGTCATGTGGCTTGTAAACTGCTGGGACTATAGCTTTAGGCTCAAAACTCTCTCTCTCTTTTTTTTTTTTTGAGAATTTATTGATAGAGCATGAGAGAGAGAACGTGCACATGAGCAGTGGGGAGGAGTAGAGGGAGAAGCCGACCCCCTGCTGAAGAGGCCATCCAATGTGGGGCGTAATCACAGGACCCTGGGATCATGACCTGAGCCGAAGGCAGATGCTTTACCACCTGAGCCACTCAGGTGTCCTAGGCTCAAAATGCTTTTTTAAATTTATTTTTTACTTTTTTTTAAATTTTAAATATTTTATTTATTCATTTGAGATAGCACAAGCAGGGGGCGGAGGGAGAGGGAGAAGCAGGCTCCCCACTGAGCAGAGAGCCTGACATAGGGTACCATCCCAGAACCCCAGGATCATGACCTGAGAGGAGGGCAGATACTTAACTGAGCCACCGAGGAGCCCCTAGGCTCAAAACTCTCAACGTCCTCTGAGCCTTAATTTTTTGGGGATATTAATACCTGCCCAACCTATTTCACATAGTTTTTGTAAACATTTTGAAAACAAAAAGTGTAACGTGATTAATAATCACTTCACTGGTGGAAAATTGTAATTTAGAATTACAGTGAAGGAAAATTTTTCAGGAACTTACTATGTATGCATTTCATCTATTCATATAACTTAACTGTGCTAAGTAAAATTTATGATAGATTTATGTGTGAATTAGAGCATATTAATATCAGAAGTTAATGTTACATTTTTCTACTAAGGGCAAAATATTATACATACATTCTCACTATCTATGAGAGAATAAATTTTCTTTTGAAATAGAACTCAAATACTATAAAAGCAAATGAATTGTCACTTGATGTGAATTTAAATTCTTAGTTTCTATTTAGATTCTACAATAAAATTTAAACTGTAGATTATTGGATTGTATATGTCACTTGATGTATTAAATAAATTAAACAGTCGCAGTCCTAAAGGAATGTTATAATTCATAAGCAAAGCAGTTTGTTAAAACCTTATTTTAAACTAAAGTATAAAATTGTTTCTCTGTCTCTAGGCAAAATCTGGTTTCTGTAATATTACTGGAATTGATTATTCTCCTTCTGCAATACAGCTTTCTGGAAGTATTATAGAGAAAGAGGGTTTATCTAACATTAAGTTAAAGGTAACTATTATATTACTGTAACTGTTTTGTAATAGGAGTTATAAAGTTTAAGTATTTCTAAAGTATATTTGCTAACTATCTTTTGAACTCAAATTAAGGATTAATTATCAGTAATCCAAATTGAAACATTTCTAAGTAACTATTAAAAATTTCAATGTAGTTGGCTTGGGGAAGTTATTTTCTTCTCTTTCTGTGTGCAGGTGTGTTCATTCTCTCATATTTGCAAATGCAAATAATAGCTAACTTTGGATTAACTAGATCAAAAAGTTGTAAGTACATCAAGTGGTGTAGTGCTGCCAAAGATTACTTAGTTTTTTTTTGTGTGTTCTGTGATCTGTGAGATGACTCTTGGATTTATATATCTAGCCCAGGCTTCTCTGAGCTCTAGAATGATTTAAAAACTGCGTGTTTTGCACTTCTTCCTGGATAGCTAGTAGTCTCATGTAGTCCAAAATGAAACTCTTAATTTCTCTTTAAACCTGCTTTACCCCAGTCTTTCCCATTTCTGTTACTGATAGCACCATTCACCTGTTGTCTTAGCCTAAAACCAACCCAAGGAGTCGTCCTTGATTCTTCTAAGTCCCATGTCTCATTCTGTTGGTTTTGTCTTGTGTATCAGGCACGTGATCATTCCTTGCTGTTTCCACTGTTCCCTCCTAAGTCTGAGCTGCCACCATTTCTTGCCTACAGCTACAGTGGCCTCTTAACTTGGCTCCTCCATTTCTCCTCTTGCCACGCCACTGTCTACTACCACAGGGCAAGCAGAGTGATTTATTGAAATATCAATCAGCTCCTGTCACTGCCTTGGTCATGAGCCTCCAAGGGCTTCCTCATTGTATAGAGAATGGAATCTGAATGCCCACCCCACCTCACAAAGCCCCTCATTTCTTACCTGTTTTCCTCTTTGTCACCAGTATTCCAGTCACACTGGCTTTCTTTCTGCTCCTGAAACATGTCTAGCCTGTTCTTTTCCAGTCTTTCTACCTGCCATTCTCTGTCTAGAATATTCTTGCCCCAGATCTTGTTTGGCTCCTTCTCTCAGTCAGATCTGTGCTCAAATATCACCTTTGGAAGCCTTTCCTATCTTTTCCAAAGCATTTCTCTTCCCAAACCCTGCTGTCTTCATTGCTCTGTTTTTATTGTCTTCATACCACTTTATCTAAAATTATTCGTTTGGCTTACTTATTTGTTGTGTCTCCCTTTAGAGAATATAAAGTGTATTCTCATACAGGGACTCTTTTTTTTTTTTTTTTTTTTGTTTACTATTATATTCCCAGTGACTGAAAAACCCTGCCTATAATAGGTGTTCATAATATACTTGTTGAATAAACGAGTACTTTGATACAGGCGTTTAGCTCTAAACTTGGCTCCCAGGAATGGTGGAGCCATTTTTTGCTTCAGGTATAATGAATATTTTGGTGGGAAGAGGAAAAAAAAACATGTTCTAATAAACATAGAATCTACATTTTAAAATCAAAGAGTTTTAGATAATATGCTATTTATGATTACTGTATTAAGTTTGAATAATCATGAGCTAATTGATTACTTTTTAAGAGTAGCTTTTCAGAATGAAGTACATTGGCAGATTATTGTATTAAAAGAAATTGAGGTAGTTCACAGTTTCAAATGCTTATAATATATTAATAGGTTATTGAAAACGAGTGATATGCTGGTGTATGACCTTCACAACCTAAAGTGCATGATATTTATAAAGTTAAGTAGCTGCAGTTTAAATAGTCCTTTGACTTCGTAAGCTAAGCTTTATGCCGTTCGTTTTATTCATTAGTTGGTTTGTAAGCTGCTGAATTAGGGTGGAGGGACTTCTGATCTACTGTAAGTCACACGACTGTAATAATATCAGCTAAAAATCATCTTATTTTTAATGACCTGTTTGAATTCCACATAATTTTTATCATCTTAAAAACATTTCAAATGTTCTATTTTTTGACGGAAATAACTTTTTCGTAAGCCAGGCTTGCAGGCTCTATTATGTGCTGGTGATATTAGGCAGTACACCTGGCTTTCATTTGTTTCCAAATTTGTAGAGATTTGGAATGTCCAGGAAACCCTGTCTCTCTTACTAATCTTAGCTTTAATGATCTTGGGATGAAGCATGTAAAAGTTAGCTATAAAGTTGAAAATATGTTTATTATATGTAAAATGCCATCATAATTAATTGGTCTTTTTATCCATAACCGTTTACAGATTGTCACTTAAATTCAGGAGAGATTGTGTTACTTGTTCTCATAAGACATTGATTTTTAATATAGGTAGAAGACTTTTTGAATCTTTCCACAAAGCTGTCTGGATTTCATATTTGTATTGACAAAGGGACTTTTGATGCCATAAGCCTTAATCCTGACAATGCGATTGAGAAGAGGAAGCAGTATGTGAAATCCCTCTCTGGGGTGTTGAACGTGAAAGGCTTTTTTCTAATAACCTCATGTAATTGGACCAAGGAAGAGTTGCTAGATGAATTCAGTGAAGGTAAATGGCTATATGTTGTTAATGTGTGCTTACCTTAGGTTTCATGTACTTAAATAGGATTTTTTTCCCCATTGGTGTTACAGTGTTTTAGTGTCCCCTTTGTGGGAATTGCCTGCTTTTCTTCTCAAGTGTAAATGCAAAGGGCAAAGAAATAATATCCAGAGATCCAGAGTCCTTTCTAAAATTTTCCAAGAAATCCTGGCAGTTAGGTACTAACATTTATGAGCCTATAAAAGTTAAGTTCTTTTTTAAGCGGTATAATCTCTTATTTAGAGACTCAAACAGTAAGTAAGTACATATATTGTGCTTCAGACTTTAGTGTACTGATTTACTGGTGATAGTGATAATAGGAATCAGTAATGTGCAAATGGAAGTAGTATTTTTAAAAACCTTACATGAGAGTTTTAATTCTATAAATACTTTCTGTATCTTGCTAATGGTCATTTAGGTTTTAGGATTTATCTTTTTTTCAATATATACAGAACAATTATTTTTAACATTGCACAGAAACAAAAAGTAGGGACTTTGTACTAGAAATACTCCCTATTAATTCTTGAGGTAATCTACCTTTTTTTAAGGCTTTGGTGCCAAGACAAGATCCTTTCTCACTCCATTAGGAAAGTATAATTAGTGCTGTGTCTAATATGTGGGGATCTTGTGAGAATTGAGAATCTGTAATCTATACACAAATATTTTGAGTTCTTTGGCAGACTGTTCCTTGCATGTTTTAAGGAATATTTTACCTGCCAATTTATTCATGCAGCACACAGGCATTTCTGGGAAAGTACCTTGAGAATCCAGGACTAGTATTTGCTTGTTTTTTTTCACAGACTCTTTTTTAGATTAGCATGAAGTTTTTTTTAAAGAAATGGGAGGAATTTTTAGGGTGGAGTATTAATAAATGATATGGTACTAAATTTTTGTTAAAATTTGAACCTCAGTTACCACAAGCTAATGGGAAATGAATTTATAACCAAACTATATGCACTTTATCTTAGAGTTTGTTTTCTTTTTGGTAATAAGGGAACAGGCAGTAGGAGGGAGAACACTTAACACATGTCCTTTTGTGTGCATTCAGTGACTTTGGCAGGTTATATAATGTAAAACTTGAAGTATTTGAGGCTTGAAATGTGAGCTTGTGGTTTCATTACTATTGCCTCTGGAAAACAAGAATTACGTGTGATTTATTGTCTTGTATTTCATGCCATTAATTTTACTATCTTCCATGTTAAATTTGTTTCCCTTAGAACTGTTGAGGCCCTGTATCCATAGTCTTTCCCTCTTCCTGAAGCTTGACAGTTTTAATAAATGCTCGAAGTTAACACTGTGTAGGGCAAGTTTCTTTCCTGGTTTTTAAATACAGGTGTTCTCTTTTACCCCTGGAACCACCAGACAAAAACATATTTGTCTGTCTTTGATAATGAAGAACAGATTCTAGCCGGGTAAAGAGTGCTTAAATTTGTGTCTAAGAACTACTTTAAGTTATATTCAGTTTTAGAGCTTAGTACAGAATTTAAGCAAAATGTTACAATAGGAAATGTTAAATAAACACATACAATTGAAGACATTTTTTAGGCATCTGTATCTGAGAATATGGAATTTGGAGTTGGATACAGAACACTAACAGAATACATGCATCACTGCCGAGGGGCTTGTTGGTGGCTTCTCACGATTGGCTTCCACGGTCCCTTTGGCATAGAGTGAAGCTTGCTTCACTGATCTTTGAAGGTTCTTTTCTTCTTTCCTGATTCGAAACATAAAACTGTTGAAATAAATCTTGCTTTTTTCCTTTATAGCCCTACTTATATAAACATTTTGTGTTGTCATTTGTTTTGGTGAGGTTTACTTAAATCATTTGCCAGATAGTGGTTCTAATTTGATATCCAAGGAAGCTAACTTTCTTAAAACTACTGAATTAAAACGAGTTCAGAAAACTTATTTTACTATGGAAATCACTCAGATTCATTCTGAGAAAGATTGAAAAAATAACCCCAACACAAAAAAGCATATAGGTTAAAATAACTCAATTTGTTACCTATCACTGGAATACAACCACTTTTAAAGTTTGGTGTTTTATTTATTAAAATACAAGAACTTCAGTTCTGTAGGGTTAATCCAAGGAGTTTAAAAGACTAGTCCTGGAAAATTCACATAGACAGCTCCATTTTCTCTTGAAAATTTTTATTATGAAGAATTTTAAGCATGTGTAAAGTTTCAGAAAACAGGCTTTGTACCCACGTACTTATTACCACAGTGGCTCCATTCTCTGGCATTAAAATATATCATGTTATTTAGGCTTGTCCTTCTTTGGAAAAGTTTTCTAATGATCAATTTTAATGAGCGTTTTAATATATAGCTGTTTGTTAAGATTTGGTGAAATTTGATTAAGAATATGAATTAGAATGCATGATGAGGGCAGCCCTGGTGGCAGAGCGGTTTGGCGCCGCCTGAAGCCTGGGGTGTGATCCTGGAGACCCAGGATCAAGTCCCACATCGGGCTCCCTGCATGGAGCCTGTTTGTCCCTCTATCTGTATCTCTGTCTCTCTTTCTCTGTGTCTATGAATAAATAAAATCTTAAAAAAAAAAAAGAATGCATGATGAAACAAAGTATAAAAGACCAGTTGATACAGTGATATATATCCTTTTATATATTTTGCTTGTAAGAGTTATTTCAGCTGAAGCTCAAGGCATAGAAGCTTAGAAAGTGTAGACACCTCCACCTCCCAGGAAAAAAAATCTACCCTCCAAACTAATAGTCCTATCACTTTTCCATGGTTAACTTCCCAGTCTTGCTTGTCTTAAATTTTAAAAACAAAATAAAATAATGTTAAATTTCCATTTTATTTTAAAGATTTTTTTTATTTATTCATGATAGAGAGAGAGAGAGGCATGCAGAGACACAGGCAGAGGGAGAAGCAGGCTCCATGCCGGGAGCCCGACTCGAGACTCGATCCCAGGACTCCAGGAGCGTGCCCTGGGCCAAAGGCAGGCGCTAAACCACTGAGCCACCCAGGGATCCCCCATTTTATTTTATAGTTCAGGAAAATGCCATGTTATCTTATTTTGATCTTTACAAATTCACTGTGAGGTAGGTGGGGGCACTGGTATCTGTAACCTCCTTGCATAGAAACTGAGGATCCTGGCAAGCATACCTTCACCTAGTAAGTGGTAGAGTTGGAACTTGAACCCAGGACTTTTGAAGCCACATTAATTTTTAAGTTCCACTGTGCTGCTTTGAAAGTTAATACTTCCTTTTCTTCCCAGATCCTTTATTATTTCAGTCTGGGTCTTGATCTTTGGTTACGAACTCTTTTTTGTTGTGGTAAAATATATGTAAAGTCAGATTTACCGTTTAACCATTTTAAAGTGTATGGTTTTGTGAAGTACGTTCCCAATTGTTCAGCCGCCACCACCACCTATCTCTAGAACTTTTTCATCTTCTACAAATTCATTTTCTTTCCACATTGTTTGACCCTTCTGTATTAAGTACTTTTAAATGTGTGATGTAAATCGAGTTACTCCATATAAAGCAGTCAGGACAGCGCCTGATACCTAGTTAGACCTTGGCACTTGATAGTTGCTTCCTACTAACTACAGCAGGCTGAGGTAGATGTGGAGTGTAAGGGGTCATAGACAGGACATGGGGGAAAGAGGGATGGATGGAGAGCCTCTCTTTTGCAATTTCATTTTGGGATTGTCTGTTCCTTGCTCAGTTTAAAGTGTTAGTGGGTATGCCCCCTCTGTGCACATCCAGTAGAACTGAAAAATTATCCAGTGAAATTCCATCACAACATAATGGTTTCATAAAAGGTTTGCAAGTACATTGTTCATACACATTCCCCTTTACTGTGGGACTGGGTCCCTATTAAAAGTATTTTAATCTTGTCTGACAGGATTTGAACTTTTCGAAGAGCTGCCAACACCCACGTTCAGCTTTGGAGGCAGATCTGGAAACAGTGTAACAGCATTGGTTTTCCAGAAAACGTGAGACTTTTCACTGGACAAATTCAGTTAGCTTTATTAAGAAGCTCCACATCAAAGTAAACCTGACACAGAAAATGCAAGTGCAAATAAATGCTTAGTAAGTACACAGGATGCACATGTTGAATAGCTATAATGGGTTGGTAAAAATATGAACATGTGAATGGTTGAGTTTTAGACACCAACCGAGAATCATTTAAAGTTTTCTTTTGTATTTGAAATGTAAATATTTTTCTCTTTGATTAAAACAAATTTCCTGTAACTGTTGAACAAGTAAACTTTAAAGCAGTAAATGAATTTACAGAAAGCATGTATTTTTGGTTTTTGTGCCTTGGTCAAAGTTGAATTGGATATAGTTGCTCATTAAGATTTGACGAAACTACTCCAGGGCCAGAATAATAAACACCAACTTACTTAGTGTTTTATTAGACTGTTTATGAAACATAATAAGTATAATATTTTAGATTGGAGGTGGTTATTAAAAAAAAAAACGCAATACCTGGGAAAAATGCCCTAGTTTTCATGTGTATAATTAAACAGAATCAGATAAATGTATGAGTTGATCAAGAAATACTTACTGAGCTTGTGTTTTGCTGCTGATGGCCTTTTATACACTGTGAAGGATAAACAGGAAGTAGGAAAGACAACTAAGAGATCTGTTATTTGGTGTTAAGTTGCATTATGGTATTAAGTCACTGAATCCACCAAATATCTTCTTCTCAAGGAATGTAATTAACCTATTCCTGCTTCTTCATATCAGAGGGATAGTACTGGGGCACCTGGCTGGTTCTGTTGGTAGAGCATGTGACTCTTGATCTCGGGGTTATGGGTTGGAGCACTACAGTGGATAGATTACTTAAAAATAAAATTAAAAAAAAAAAAAGAGGCTAGTATTGGATGGAGGCAGGATTCTTTGGGTCTGACTAAAACCCATTCTCTTCCTCTGGCATATTCTGCTTCCCAGGTGCTAAGTCTCTGCCTTAATGGCACTTACAGTTCAGTGGGGGAACCAGGACCGGTCCAGAGAAAACACTGTCAGAGGAATTGAGTAGTTGAATTTTCAAAGCTCTGCAGCTCCTTTTTGGTGACGGTGTTGGTCTGTGGACTGTGAGTTAGTGAGTCATCCTTCACTACTTTTCTCCATCTCCCTTTTGTCTTAACAGACTTGCCTAATCAAGAACTGAATAGTGTCATTCTTTTGTGAAAGGGTGGTGTAAGCTATATGTGTATATATATATATATAAGCCTTCAGGGACATGAGGACAAAGATGTTTTAGTTAGGACTAATTAGCAAGAGAAACAGTTTACATATTAATGTTTTTGAAGAGATAGGTTAATATATAATGCCATTTTTGTATTTGGGCTGATATTTTCATGTTGGAGCCACAAAACACGTTTTTTAAGTGATAAAATTTTTGATGATTTTCAGCATTTTGAATCTCTTGGGTTTTTGTTTGTTTGGCAGATGTTAGTCCAGTAATGAGTAAGTCTAGCATTACCATCCTTTTTCTTTTCTTTTTGTCTCTGAGTGGGGGCAGGGTGGAGGGAAGAGGGGTTTGATTTAGATCAACATTAATCAACTATTAAGATTACTACCTGCTTTGCAAAAGATAACCGAAGACATTTACATAAGCTTTCAACACAAATAACATTGCTTAAAAAGGTTTTATTTTTAAAATGTAAAGGGTGAGATGTTACTTCAAAATATATGTGATTTAAACTTATTAAAAATTGTGTTGATTGAAAAAACTGCGCAAGGGATTTTAAACCACAGAAAAACAGTTTATAATTTATTGAGGAGGTCTGGTCTTTGTTGTGTTTTCATATTATTTTTTTTGATGTCAAATATGATAATAGTGTAGAAGTACTTTTTTTTAGAATTTTGATTTGTTATGCATGCTGTTTTAAAGCACCACTCTAACAAAATAGGCTTTCTGTGCCACCAGACTGAGACATTGGGTTTGATTCACTGATAGCTTGGAATGGGCCTTTGTTGAAAAGCTCCTCAAGTCACCCTCGTGGCAGGGTATGTATGTTCCATTTGCAAAGATGAAGGATTTGGGGGGATCATGGAGCTGTTGCTAAGGTTAGGAGAAGGGATTTGTCATCTCTCCTTATCGGTTAATCCTGTTGGAAGCCGGCTTCTCAGAGGTTGCAGTTAGAACAAATGGAAGGTCCCAAAATGCTAACAGTAAATTAGTATTTTCAAATAATGCCACACTTTAAAAACCAGGCCAGTAAATGGCCCCAAGTTACTGAAGCAAGTCGTAAATATGTGACTATTAAACTGAGTTTTGTTTAAGGCACATGACTATGTGGGTAACTGGAAGAAATTATACAGTTATAAAAGGGAGCAGTGAGTTCCATAGTAAGTGCTGGTTTCTCTGCATAAGAAGCTGGAATTGTAATTTTATTTCATCAAAAGACACTCTTATTTTGAGGAAACTTGTTTGAAATGCAAACGAAGTTTCTCTCCAGAGCCTGAACGGCATTGTTGCTTCTCATTATGATGTTATTGCTGCATAGCCAGCGCTTCTGTGTGTAGGAAGCGCGCCGGCCTGTCCGAAGGGATTTGAGGCTGAATGGGTGGGTTACACCAATTAACAAATAGAAAGTTTTCAGAACATTGTGTTTTAAGCCAGGTGCACAAGTTAGAGTTGCTTTTTGGGACTGGCATTTATGCATATGAGAATCAAACCTGACACTACTCTTGGCAGCTTGACTGAGGCCATTTTAAAATAAGTACAAACTGTCCTTGAATTGATTTCCCCCCCCATTGTAGTAGCAGCAAGTTTGCCTTTCTTCTTCATCTGTGACATGCATGCAGTTTTCTGTTATTGGGGGGGGGGGACGGGGGAGAAGGGAGGTAAACACGTACAAAAGACTTTTAGTCTTTATGTGAATAATGTGTTTCAGTTTATGTATTTTTAATTTTCTGTGATACTGTAATATAGAACTCTATGTTGACCTTAATTCACATTCATCTGGAGTGCAGTAGAGAGCTTAATTTTTAAGGTATCTATGGTAGCCTCTAACCTTTGAAATAATTTTCCTTAAATTGATATGCAAAGAAATAGAGTATCCCTGCTTATGTCAATAGACTCTGATTTATGTCTTCTTAAATTATTTTATGTATTTATGCATGCACGTATGTGTCTGGTAGTCCATAAGGAAAATATATACAAATGTGAAAACTCAATTGCTCTCCAGGCCAGCATTCTGCTGCTTGGGGAGGCCTGGGTTTGATTTCCTGTTGTTGGCACTGTGAACTAGAGTGTACGTGCTCCAGAGACAGCTTTCTGCTTTGAAAGCAAGAGACCAAGTGTCTTGTGTTCCACAGTAGTAACCTCTTTAGCTAATTGTGTGTGTGTGGGTGTGTTGATGGGCTCTGAAAGGAGTCTTGTCTAGGACACTTCACTGGAAGGAGGCTGCCCATGACCTAGAGTTTGATTGTGGGAGACCAGGAGCATGGTAGGTTGAAGGACAATTGCTTAGTGGGAAAAAATTAGGAAACCCTTGTCATTTCTCTGTTAGGCTGGAAACAGAGATGTCCTTAGATGAAGGGGGAGCACATGAGCATGTTTTATTAACAGTTAATGGAAGAAAATTAATGCTAATTTATTCTTCATACACACCATGCAATTTGTTGGAAAAGTAAAAGAATAGTTTGAAATTCTTTGGTCAATTGATGGATTCCTATGTTTAGGGGCATAGAAATGAAACTCAACATTAAGCAGACAAATACCCCCAAGCCCACAGGCTACATAAATGCTGAATAAAACCAGCTCTACAATAGAACTCTGAAAAGCGAGGGGTAAGAAGCCTAATGAATGATTGAATATGACCTTAGCAAAATCCCTGGAGTGTTGTTGAAGGATCATTCATTTCCAGCTTAGATGTCAAGATGGGCTCCAGTAACCAGGAAAAAAGAGAGCTTGAGTCAGTACTTACTGAGTTTTAAAAATCTTTACAACTCAGTGCATTAGACCGATCATTAAAAGGGCTTCTCTAACTAAATTTTGAGCTGTCACTGTGTAGACCTGTAGTTTAGGCTCAGGGAAACCAAATTAAAAAGATAGGAGTAATTCGTAAGACATGAATGTATCGATATCCTGCTTTTATGGAGTAGAACTTCAAAAACTGGATGTAGAGGCTGGCATAATGTACTTTTGTCATGCTGATACCATTGTAAGAAAGCCTGAGCACCATGAGATCAATTGGACCTTAGAGCATTTGCAAATTACTTGCCCAGTTTATTAGAGGAAGATAGAAAGAAACCAAAATGTACTTTTTTTCATTTTTAAGTGGTTCATTCTGAAGAAATGATAAATTATTTTGTTCTGTTTAAAATACGTGTTATTACTGCATCAGAAAATAAGTATGTTAGTGAGTGATCTTTATTGTGCATGCTGTCCAGAAGCTTTTTAAGAAAAGCAAATCTAACACATTTGTTTCCCCAAATTCCAAAAAATGTAGACATGAACGAGCAATTAGCATATCCTGGATATTATATGAGAAGCTTAGGAAGAAGTATGAAAATACTCCCCATTTGGACAAAGGGACCATTAACTGTATTTCTCATCTTTCATTAACATACTCAGAGATGAAGCAGTTTATTATTCTCCGTGACTATAGCAGAATAGAAGTGCAGTTGGGATGGTCGCCACTCTCCTGCTATGGCCCTCCACACTGCTTGTCAAAGATGGGCATACGCAGGGGGAGGGAGCTAAATGTAGAAGAGAGTGGGTGCTGCCAGTGCACGTTTTCTCGTCACCCCTCCTCTAGTATGAAAATGTCAGTCCTTTGTTCCCATCTAATTTTAGTACATCCTGGCTTAAAAAAAAAAAAAAAAGTTAGGATGCTTTCCAACCATGGAACTTTGAGGGGTGGGGTGGGCGGGGAAAGAGTACAGGAAGGAGCAGTTTACATTCCATATCCGTCTGCCTTTCTGTGACAGCATCTAGTCCCTACTCTGTTGATTCTGGTAATGAAATAAATTTAGATGCACTGAACCAGCAATAATTAAGTTTTCCTTCCATGTCCTCAACAAGAAGTCTAGTTGGAGTCTGAATGGGGAAAATCATAATATGGCATCTAATAGAACATACTGGGCTGAATTAAAGAGCTGTGTACAAGTTTTAGAAGACAGGTCTGAAATCGTGAATGAAAAACTGCATGTTGTCTTATTTAAATGTGACCTTTGAGGCCCATTTGTGATTCAGTGAAACTGCTTTTATGCTGTTGTTTAGAATGAGAATAATATTTGTTGATTTTTGAGAAGCAATCAAAGGCAAGGTACACAAGTCAGAGCTGTTTATTCCTCGTGGAAATCCTCACAGGTCTAGAAGGAAAGCTCTGATTTCTTGAAAAGAACCAGTTGGGTCAAAGAATGGATAACATAGTTTGTTCAAGAGATAGGACTGAGTTCCATATGGCTTTGTAGTTGAAAGTGCCAACTGTCATGGTTATTATTTAATTAAAAAGTAATTAACCAGATTAAACTATGAGGGGAAATCTACATTCTGGACTTCACTATGAAATAAGTCCATCTTTTCCAGAGGTTTCTTGCTTTAGATGTTCTGAGGTTTCCTCTTGGAATCTCTGTATGGTAAAGATGTTAGAGAGCTACAAGTAAGAGGAATTATTTTGTTACTGAGTCCATTTGATTAAGGATTTAATTTGGGATGGGCGGTATCAGATTATTTTCTGAACTTGAAATTTATTTTCGTTCCTTTGATTTTATAGTAACACAGAGTTTAAAAGCTGTTAAGTAATAGAGTAAATATTAAAGAGAAATGATTATTTTTTTAAATACTAAATTTGGGAGGAAAAAAAGATGGTAATATAGGCAGGGTGCTTTCCTTCTTTGGGCTTCAGTTTTCCTTTCTGTAAAATGAGGGTGTTCAGTAGGTGATATTTAAAGTTCTCCTCTACCCCTCTACTAGTCAGTTTGGGTTGCTGTTGACCCGGTGGTTTAAACAGCAGAAATTTACTTTTCACTGTCTGCCTGGAAAGTCCAAGGTCAAGGTACGAGAAAGGCAGGCTTCATTCTGAGGCCTCTGCTCTTGGCTTGTAGGTGGCTGCTCACCTGGCCTCCCTGTGCATGCTTACAAGGGAGAGAGAGTGTGGGAACAGGCTCTCATGTGTCTCTTCTTAGAAGGGTGCTGAGTCCATCAGGAGAGCCCCATCTACACGACTTCATCTAACCCTGATTACCTCTCAGAGGCTCTACTTCCAGATATTATCACATTGGGGGTTAGGCCTTCAACATGTGAATTTGGGGGGGGGGCACACAAACATTCAGTCCATAATATCTGCTGAAATTGATCTAAGATGTAGAGAAGGGCTTAATAGATTTTCACTATATACAGGAAGTTTAAATGCTCCAATTAGCTAAATATTGGTTGTTAGGTCTCTTTAGAGTTCTTTTTCTTTTTTAAAGATTTTACTTATTTATTCACGAGAGACAGAGAGAGAGAGAGAGAGAGAGAGAGAGAGAGAGAGGCACAGACATGGGCAGAGGGAGAGAAGCAGGCTCCTTTCCATGCAGGGAACCTGACGTGAGACTCGGTCCTGGGTCTCCAGGACCACACCCTGGGCTAAAGGCGGGGCTAAACCGGTAAGCCACCCTGGGCTGCTCCCCCCCACCCCTTTTTAAAAAATATTTTATTTATTTATTCATGAGAGATACAGAGACACAGGCAGAAGGAGAAGCATGCTCCATGCAGGGAGCCCGATGTGGGACTCGATCCCGGGACTCCAGGATCACGCCCTGGGCGGAAGGCAGGCGCTAAACCGCAGAGCCACCCAGGGATCCCCTCTCTTTACAGTTCTTAAAGCAAGGTATCTATGTGTATGAGAAATAGATGTACATATAAGACATTTGGAGCGAAAAAATCATGTATTTTTCCATCTAAGACATCTTTGTACATCCATAGGTAAACTTTAGATCTGGGTGTTGATTGTCTTTGATATGTATTTTTGATAATCCAGTTTGTGTTTGTTTGACCACAGCTATGTTTTATTCAGGAAACTCAGAAATTTACATCTGATTGTTTGGTCTCCTTCAATTTTACATATAGAAGGATAGAGATCAAGATTGGGCCTAAGGAAACACAAAGGAGTCCTACTCATAGATGACCTCATTTAGAAGAGTAAAGTCCCAGGGTTCTGAGAATTCTACTCTCTCATGCTACACAGAGTCCCATGCTTGAGCAGGTGGTATGTGGTCTGCCCTTCTCAAGCCTTGTAACTATGGGCTCTTGTCTACTTAGTCGTGGTTTCCCTTCAGAACTTTTCTTCAAAGCAGTTGGGTGTAATGGAGAGAGAAGCAGTCACGGAGACCTGCTGTATCACCGGATCAGGAATATTAAATGAGAAGAATCAGTGTGAAGCAGCTTAGCATAATTCCTAGCACACACGAATAACTAGACTTTTCTCCAAGGACTCTTCTTCCTGTTGCAGCTGATGTATGGACTTGAGATTTTACCCCTCAGTACCATTGAATTAATGTATTCAGTTCAACTGTATTCCAAGAGTGTTTAGATGAGGGAAGAGAGGAGGAGTGGTAGACAAGTGAGTAAGAGTATAGCTCCTTCTTGAGTCTCTAGATAGGCTGGTGCTGAAGCACCTTTTTAAATTTAGCTAAGAAAACAGGACCGGATAGGATGCCAGATTTTCACTGAATGTTCTTTACGATGTGTTTCAGTGGACTCCTTAAGAATACTCAGGTTTAAGATCATTATCTGTTTACGTGGTAATTATTTAGTAATCAAAGTAGG